GAATGCTTATATATATATATATATATATATATATAGAGAGAGAGAGAGAGGGAGAGAGCCGAGTTCGAATTCTAGTTGAATCCATTACATTCACTTACATGCCAATACCTTTGATAAAGTTATTAATCGTCCTCACCTTCACCCACCCAGTTATAGGTAAATAGCAGGACAGACTGTATTCTATAGCCTTCGATGGCAACTGTTCTAGGAAAAGGACAACTCTAAATTCAAATCCTGAGGAGGGTCATTTGAGGACCTTGTGGCAAGTAGTTCACCAGGTCCCTGTATTCGGCCCTTCAAAAAGTGTGGTTGGTTCTGTACAAGGCCTTCACCGCTATAATCAAGTTATATGTGCTGGTGACTAGGCTGTCGATTCCTAGGAGGTGAATTGCTTGACCCTTATACGTCCACCATATATATATATATATATATATATATATATATATGGTCCACCTTATTTTGAATTACCATATACTGGTATTTTGATTGATTATCATAGTTTACGTAAGCATGTTTCCCCTACTGAGTTGGTTTGGTTGGTTTTTGAACTCTTAAAACCCCTTATTTTGAAATCAACGCAATCAAGGTACCAGTAGTGTTGAAACAAAATTGCAGTTTTCGTAGTGATGTTGTAACATGCATATGTTATAATTTTGAATAAATATTATTTGCTCTACTCAGTACTGAGCACTCTTTTAAGAATAATACTTTTCGTTATCGGGATTTTATTCCATCTGTACTTATATATATATATATATATATATATATATATATATATATATGCATATATATATGCTTGCATATATATATATATATATATGCTTGCATATATATATATATATATATATATATATATATATATATATATATATATATATATATATATATATATATATATATATATATATATATATATATATATATATATATATATATATATATATATAGATAGATAGATAGGCTGTCTAAAAAAAAACGATTACAAGTTTTGCGGACAGGCTTCTCAAACTAAACAAGGACAAAGGTGCATATAAATAAATGTCCGCCAATCCTTGGTTTTTGAGTTAAGTTTTCAGAAAGTTTATAGTAGATGCCATTGTGTTGCCATGTACACTAGGTTAAAATTTTCATCCGTGTATATTTGAGGCTAGACTGTTTTCAACTTTTGATGTTTGTCGTATTGAGTTAACTGAGAAGTGTTCCGTTTAACAATGACTGGATATTCATATCGTGAGCAGGCTGATATGATTTCTACATACGGCGGAGTGAATTGTAATGGACGCACGAGGCCAAACGTCCGTAACTCATTGCATTTCCAGCCTTTACGCAGCCGACTTATCCAACCTTTCTGCTGTATATCGTCGCGTTGTTTGGATAAGTTTTGTGAGACTTATGATAATACGTATTTTGGTATGGTATCTTGAATTGTACATTTAACAGCGTATACCGTAAACATTAAATTTAATAACTCAAAAACATAGATTTTGCGGACATTTTGTCCTTGTTTTGGTGTGAGTAACCCGACCCTAAAATTTGTAAATGTATTTTTGATTCAGACGGTATATATATATATATATATATATATATATATATATATATATATATATATATATACAGTGTAACCTGGGTATAAGAGAAACCCGGAGATAAGAGAGATTTTCTCCGGTCCCAAATTAGAGCCTGTGTTAATGTATATAAGATACACCAAACACGGATATAAGAGAAAACCGGATATAAGAGACTTCTCCGGTCCTGACAACTCTCTTATATCCGGTTACACTATATATATATATATATATATATATATATATATTCTATTTTTAGCTAATGGGACACGCATGCACACACGATACGCAAGACTTGAAATAGATTTCAGAGTGTCAAGGGTAATGTACGGTTAGGAAAACATCTATCATCAACACGTTTATCATCACCACCTCTCAGATCAAAACTAATGGTTTCATTACCACTTAGGCAGAAATTCACTTTTGCCAACAGTCCAGAAATGAGATCAAAGCTCACTACAAATACCGAAAACGAACAGTGAAACATTAAAAGAACATAAGGAAAATTTATTCCTTTAAAAATTAATTCCTTTTTTTTTGCCTGAAGAAGGTCACTAGACCAGAAACTCGTGTAGCAAATATATGAAGAAAGAAATATAATATATACACTAAAACAAATACGCATTATAACCAAAAGCGTTTGCGGTTTCTATCTCTTTTTAAAATATACATAAATATCGTTGGAACAATATAACATTTTCCCTTTTTCTCTCTCTCTCTCTCTCTCTCTCTCTCTCTCTCTCTCGATATATATATATATATATATATATATATATATATATATATATTATTGGTAAGATGAGATCGAATAGAGTACAATTCTAACGTTCGTAACATTTAATTTAAAGAGGGCTCAATCTAATTTTTTTTTTTTTGTTAATTTTTTACAATTAGTGATATATAAAATTTTTATTTTAGTAATATTTTTTATCGTCATATTGTGGGCTCCTGTGTAAGTTTTGATAAGTAACAGGTTAATCTATGAGCAAACGGTGGTGGTCATATGACCAATGTAAGTGTTATTATTGTGAGTGTGAATTTAGTGTAACGGTCAGCAAATCAGAAAGAGTTGATTTCCAAGCCAATAGATTTCACTACGTTCATTTTAGCACAGAAATCCCAAATCTATGTCTCCCCCACCCCAGATTACGGGCTAGTTTGCCTTGAAACTTTTCTTGGATTAGGACATCTCTAAATCTAAAATCAGCCCGAAAGAAGAATGACCTTTATTGTATTCCCAATCATTTTAGACCAATGCAACCTATTTATAATAAGTTAGAGTGACGTTCCCCACTTTTAAAAAATTGACCCAAATTATGTAGCAATCCCTATTGCAGACGCCTGCTCAGGCACATCAGTGTTTGCTCAACAAACGCTTGATTTACACTGCAAATATTCTGAGTGGACCTTAGTTACAGTTTCTGAAAGAGAGAGAGAGCGCGCATTACCTTATGTGGTCATCAGTCAGAACGAGGCCAATACGATCGAATCAGCTAAAGACTTCGAGCTAGCTTGACCACCCACTCAGTTTCACTCACAACGCTAGGGTCAACCCGTGGTATGGTTTCCAAAATTGCTGCACGCTTGGATCGCCTCTACAGGCCGACGGCATCAAAAACATTCCTGACAAATAAACTATACTGCGATTTGAAACCGGGTCCCGCACTCAGGAAGCGAATGTTCTAACCACTCGGCCACGTAGTAATAGCAGCTCATATCCATTTACATGGATTGTATTTTTATAGAGGACTTGATCGGCTCCAAATTCTTCAAATATAAAACAAGAAAATGAATAGATTTTCCTTTCACTCTGAAGCATTATAATCGCCACCACCTGGTTGAAAGCCTCTGCCTTAGACACACCACGGTTGTTATAACTGCAGTACATATGGTAACGCAGGCTATATGCCCTTACGGCTTTAGTGGGTTAATGGGCGTGTGTCGTGAAGTGAAGACATTATTAGGAGAATAGATATTAATTTTTATGATCAATCTGAGTTATTTATTGCAATTATTAAGGGACATCTACTGAAGAATTATATTTTAATGCCGTCTTATTTTTGCTTATCGTTGCGATGCGTCTGTTTAACTGAGAATAAATTAATGATCTTTTTTTTAATTTTATTTGTTTATTCCGAATTTGTTTGTATCATTTTCTTTCTAAAGTTCTTTGAAGCGAATTTTATTTGCTCATCAACGACATTGCTTTTGGAAACTATTCTTAATAAGTATTCGTTTTATGTTAGTTCTTTGTAAAATAATGTTTGCGAACAAGAAATTAGTCTCACTCGGCAGATGCAAATCTTTCTAACAGCCATTTTAGAACCGTGAAGACATGCAATTCGGCAATGAAGAAGACAGGAATATTTCCAACTGTGATATTTTGTCAATTGTATTTTATTAAAATTATGTCTATTATAAGAATGCCAAGGAAAAGGATTCTATTCTTAAAATTCCTATTGAGAAGAGAATTTTCCTCCGAAATTTTTATTAAATAAGTCATTTTTTAATTTAAGTATTCTGATAGTGGACCAATGGATAGCGGCTCGAATTGTGGAATCGGTGAACCGAGTTCGAATTCCAGTTGAATCCATTACATTCACTTACGTGCTGATAACGTTAGAAAAGGTATGAATCCTCTTCTCCCCACCCAACAACTATGGGTAAATAGCAGCACAGACCGGGTTCTGTAGCCTTGGAATGGTAACTGGTCTACCGCTGAAAGAAATGGCAACCTACTGCGCAAAAAAAATCTGCCTCGTCAGTCATGTATCGAAAGATACCTGATCGCCGAAGCGTTTATCACGCATGGCACGTAACTGACTGATATTCACTGAAGCACAGATACACTTGGAAAATGTATGAATCCTTTTCCCCCACCTATGTGTAAATAGCAGAATAGACCTGATTCTATAGCCTTGCATGGCAACTGGTCTACCGCAGAAAAAAATGGCAACCTACTGCGCGAAAAAATCTGCCTCGTCAGTCGAAAGATATAGGATCGCCTAAGCATGTATCACGGATAGCGCATAAATGATTAAATTTGCACGAATCCAATTAATATATCTAATAGATCCTTGTGTAAATTAATCGCTTTAGTTTCCTTTCTTTCACCATACGGTCAGTTTTAGACCCACTGGAGTGACGGGTGTGTAAACGATTTCTATTTTTTTCCACAGATTAGGCCATTTGCAGTAGTGTGCAGTAATAGGAACCTATTTTCGGGGTATATGATGAAATTTGTTTGCCCTTGAAAAATATTGCATCATCCGTGATTGCATCAGGTTTTTTTCATGTCCGGATACTATTGTCTCGACTGTCGATTAGTTGTCCTACAGCCATTGTCTACGATAGACGTTGCTCCAAGGAAGCGTACGAAAATTATAACGCAGCAAGCTTACCAGTGATCAAATCAAAGTACTATAGACTGGCCTGGAAATTCTACTGATTTAAATGCAATCGAGAATCTGTGGTCAATCTGCGAGAAACGTCTTCATGAAATGGGCATACAAAGTAGTAACATGTGCACTGGCTCAACTTTCATCGGAAAAATACGAAAAGAAACGTAAATAATAACGGAATTATTCGTTTTATTTCAATTAATTTTCACAAGGGTATATACCATCGATTTGAGAAAAATGTTAAAAATATTGTTTTTTGAGCCTCATCTCGTTACAATAGGTGCAAGAGGCGACCCCATGCCGATACCGCCAGATAAATGTTACAATGATGATCGTAGAAAGGGACTAGCGCAGGAAAGTAAAATATATCGAATATATAACCGATTTGGTAAAAATATTACAAATATTGTTCTTGAGCCTCATTATTGTTAAAATAGGTTCAAGTGGAGACCCCATAGTGACACCACCAACTACAATGATTATCGTAGAAAAGGTGTTAATGCAGTAAAGGACAGAAATTGATGTTGAACTGTTTGCGGAGGTAGAAGTGAAGAATTTTTATATTCATTTGACATTATTTTGTCTACATGTTCTTTTACGAAAACGATATGATCTTTGGCGACTCTCTTTATATATTTGATCTAAATGGGCCAACGCTTATACGCAAAAAGAAAAAATATACTCTGTGTGTGTGTGTGTGTGTGTGTGTGTGTGTAAAATAATTTTGAGCCAAAAATCCGATTCAGATCGAAAATTGAGTTCTTCAAATCACAAACTCTCACGTCACGAAAGCTCTCACTTTAAATCCGATTCCTTAGCATTTTTGTAGAAATAAACCTGATTCCCTCGATTCACAAAAAATTGTGGAGATATTTCAAAATTGAATTTAAAACAAAAATATTTAAACTCACAAAGATTTCGTGTTACTTTAAACTCAATATATATATTTTTTTAAATTTTAAATCACTAAATTTAATATTTAAATTTTTAACTGTTCCCTCCCCATCCGGACATAAATCCCAAGGCTGAATTTTTAAGCACCAGTTGAAAGACAGATTTTCAATCACGGAATCATCCTTATTCCTAAAATGTATAATATATCTATATCGAGCAAAAGTGGGCCGAGTTACAGAGGTTTCAGACACATGGATGGACTGAGAGTATTTGCAGTTTAGAAGAATAGCCGTTGACGGAATTTCTGTAAATAATTGAGTTTTTTGTAACTGGTGCAAATATTTGTACGAATGATATTTTCTTCTTTTTTTTTTTGTGAGTGAATATTTTAATAACTATGTTTTGAAAAGAGCACTGATTTTTATTCAGATACAAACCAATATTGGCGGGGGAAATAGATTCATGCTTTTCTCATGGATATTTGCGGGAAAGTGAATGAAATGGACCCGACTGGAATTCGATTTCCATTCTGAGACGCTACCCATTAGACCATGAACAGACATAGATAGATTGAGATGATGAACATAGATAGATAGATAGATGATGAACATAGAGAATAAACAGACATAGATATAATGAACATAGATAGATAGATAGATAATGAACAGACATAAATAGATAGAAAGATAATGAACACACACACATCTTGAACTCACCAATTGAATAGAACTTTGATTGGTGTAGTTAATAATCTTGTCAAATAGCTGAATTCTTGATGCTTCGCTTGGGCTATCAAGGGTGTTTTTTGTCGTGACACCAACACTACATGGATTGCCAACCAAGGCTCAGAGAGACTCCATTCACCCTCCTCTAAGAGCAGGTTTGAATTCAGAGTTTTTCTTCTCCTAGTCCAGTTGCCATCCAAGGCTATAGAACCCAGTCTGTCCTGCTATTTACCTATAGCTGGAGGGAGAAGAAAGAGGATTCACACCTTTCCCAAGCGTATTAGCACGTAAGTGAATGTAATGGATTCGACTGGAATTCGAATTTGGCTCTCCGATTCCTCAATCCAAGCCGCTATCCATTACTCCACCGTGCCTCCATGAACATACATACATACGTACATACATACATACATACAGACATACATACATACATATTATGAACATAGATAGATAGACAGACTGACATAGAGATAATGAACAGGCATAGACATAATGAACATAGATAGATAGATAGATAATGAACAGGCATAGACATAATGAACATAGATAGATAGATAGATAGATAGATAGATAATGAACAGGTTGAGATTGACAGAGAGAGAGATGGAGTGAAAGCCCAGGAAATTTCATAGATACGGTCCGAGAGAAAGAGAAGATCAAGAGAGTACGATGTAGAGATAGATGAAGACAGAGAAAGATAAGAAAAGGACTTAGATAGACAGATATGAAACAGTAATTGTTTTGTCTTTCAATTAATCTCAATACATATGTATTTTCTTTCTTTTTTTTTTCTTTTCCGTTGTAATTCCTTAAAACTCTCTACGCCAATGACCGAGTACTACTCACCTGAAAATACCTGTAGACACATTTAGGGCTTAATTAACAAAAGTTGCGCACATCAAAGCAAACCTCAAG